AATAATAATAATAATAATAATAATAATAATAATAATAATAATAATAATAATAATAATAATAATAATAATAATAATAATAATAATAATAATAATAATAATAATAATAGTAAAGTTGGAAGGGACCTTGAAGGTCATCTAGTCCAACCCATGCTGGCTCAGAAATTCTGGGAGTTGAAATCCACGAGTCATAAAAGAGCCAAGTTTGCCTACCCATGTTCTAGGCTGTTGATTATAATCTAAATTGAACAGACACTTATAAAATAGTAATGGCAAAGTATGTCTGCACTTTTCCCAAGAAAATTATTCTTGGTTAGTTACCAGGAATCAGGTTTGATGTTAAGGGAGACCTTTCATGTAGAAAAATACTTCAGTACCCTTATAATGAAAAAGCAATGACTCTTGGACAACAAATCAAATCAACAAATGGTTATTTATTGCACAAAACCTATCATGGAGAAGTATCTTCTATCAAACTGCCATTTTTCATTACTTACTTTCCTCCACCAGAGGGCAAAATTAGAGTAAGATAAATGTAAAGGTATCCTTCAAATTGAACAATCCTTGTTAGACACATCCGTGCAGTTATCTTGACAACAGTACAAATATGGTTTGCCATTTCCATCATATTTTTCAACTTTCCATATTATTTATTCTATCTATGGAGTGTCCAAATGTATAAATAATTATAAGTGCACATATGTATTTCTAGTATTTTTGGCTACTTAAACTCATGGCTGCAAAGGAACAGCAATATTTTTTTCCCAAAGAACACGTTATTCTGCTTTTTGTAAAGGAGACTGTTTTTGCTCTTCCCTCCACTTCAGTCATTCAGCCTCTTTAGCTGCCTTTCATTTGAATCATATATCTTCTACCAAGCTCTGCATTTGGCAGGAATGCTGGGAAAAATGCGGCATAGCTGATATATGCACCCTTTGGTGAAGTGTTTCCAGTTTTGACATATCTAATACATTCATTATGTTTTGTACTAATTGTATTAAATTGCATGAAAATTCATGTGGTTGGCTGAAGCTAACATTTTTCTCAGGCAATTCCTTAATGAAAAGTGAAGAGGTTCAGGAATAGCCTCTTGTGACATATGGAGGACATACTCCATATTATCTTACGACATATGAAGGATCTACTTGTACTGACTCATTTTGTGTATGTGCTACCATAGAACATTCTTCAGAAATCATCACAGAAGTGAAAAAACTTGTTTTTAATGTATTATTGCTGTGCTGTAATCCAGCTTTCTAACCATTATTGTTTCAGAATGCAATTTTGATATTTTCCTTTGTTTCTTACTCTCCCCCAAATCTGCGATTTCTAATTAAAATATGATTCTGTGGTTTTACTGTATAATTTGCATCCATAATAGTAGTACCCCATAAACACTTACCAGTAAAATTAATATAGCTATTAATGTTTGATCATTATTTAAAAGCTATTAGATGTTTTTAAATTGAAGTCTAGATCATGTGATGATTTCTTAATTTCTATAAATGTATGTATTAAGCTATGGTTTGTTGTACATGTTATAAACAAGCCAGAATGAGTTTTGTAGACTTATGAGCATGACACTTTTCATCAGATCTTGATTTTGTTTTAACTTTTTAGCACTTTTTGCTTTGCAATTATAAAGATTGATGAATGATTTTAAGGGTCATTAAGGAGCAGAAAATAAAAGAAGCCAGGAGTAAACTTGGTAATTATAAACTACATTAGCATATTACCATATCATACTAAACTAAATTGCAGTCTGTAAGTGAACAATAGCGTAATTTATTTTACTATTCTAAAACAAGCCATGCTTTATTCACTGATGGCATTTATCTCATGAAGCCAAAATAGAAACAAAATCTATTATGCTTTAGCACAATATATGAACTTAGTCAAGGTTTTACAGATAACTGAGCTTGATGGTAGCTTTTCTACAAGATTGATTAAATCATGACAGTTAGTGATATGTAGTGTTATATGGTTTCTATGCCTACACTTGAAATGGAAGCATGAATTCCAAGACAGAGTTTCTGCATAGTTGTATCTGAAAAATTGTCTTTGCAATTTTGTCTGATTTGAAATTCTCTCCACAGCTGGATCCTGACCAAGATGCAGACAGAAGAGGACTCCATAATACTTTAGAGAAGATGGCATATTCTTTAGTCTCTGTGCCTGAAGGAAATGACATTTCTTCCATCTTTGAGCTTGATCCCACCACATTGCGAGGAGGAGACAGCTTAGTCCCAAGGTATGATGATAAGAATAATCAAGACACATGTGTGTTGGTAACTGAGATGAGTTCAATTTACCTAGGCAGATCATCACAAAGAACAGCATTTTAGTAGAAATAAATTGAATAAATTCCAGCTTATATGATTATTTTTTAAAAAGATTGTAAACCACCCTGTTCATTCCAGCTTGGCATATAGTAAAGCAAGAAACATCAGACATTGCAGCAATGAAATAATAACAAATTAACCACATCTGATCTCCAAAGGAATGCTTGAACCCATAATCTTAGGCCTTGCAATGCGCAAGGAAAGTCAGTGCCAAATGTACCTGCAGGGAAAAAGTGTTCCAAAGCATGAGGGCTACCGCTGAAAACGACTGCCAACTGGCCCATATTCCATGAACCTTGGGAAGATTTTAGACTTTCAGTGAGCCCTCTCTCTTTTAATAAGGCTTTCCCCTGGTGCATATTGATGCTACATGGTAAACGTTAAATAACAGAATTCTGTGGGACAGATGAAGAACAGAGACCTGACCCTACTTTGTGTTTGACATTATCCAACAAGAAACCATTTAGTAGCTTCAGCAGGAACGGAATTGTGATTGGGTCTAAAGCAATTCAATGCAAACTTCCTCTGTGCCCAGATATTCCTAAGGAACTGTTTCTCTACCAGAAATATATGTAGATTTTGGTCACAAAATTAAGGCAGGAGTCCCCAACCCCCATCCATGGAAACCGGGCCGGAAACTAGGCCGTACAAACAAGTGAAGCCCCATCCACAGGATGTAGGCAGCACACAAAACCACGCCCCCTCCGGTCCATGAAAAAAACTCTCTCCAAGGAACCGGTCCCTAGTGCCCAAAAGGTTGGGCAGATCTGCATTAAGAGTTGTGAATCTAGTCTGAGTTCTTAGTAAATAAACAAGTGATGTCGGAAGTTTGAATATTTTTTTTAAAAAAAATAGGGATGCTAAACTAGCTTCATTTCAAATTGTTTCAAGTGCAACATTTCATTGACATGAAATGGAATATTCTGAATAGTTTCTAACTGCTAATGTTTGAAACAGCTCTTTCTAAGCTCAAGGTACTTCATTTCATGCTTGAATCAGCAGTGTTGTACTTAAACGTTTTATGAAATTTTGGGTTCAGAGCAGGCAGACATGAAACATTTTCCATAATCCGTTAATCCCTTGGTATGAACTGGGCATTTGAATGGGCCCTTAAAAAATGAAGTGATGCTTAAAAAACAGAAGCAAGATGTTCCAGAAGCAAATTTAAATCTAAAACTTTATCAGTGATTTCAGATTTAGACACATGCTGGCAATATTGTCTGGGATAGATATTCCAGTTTAAAAAAAATTAATTAATGTTTATTTACTCTTCAAAGAAGCATTATAATGCAGCGAGCCCGGTTGAATTCAGCTTCATTCAGCACCATGCCATAAACTTTTATTGTTTAAAAAGTTCATTTTATTTGTTTTGTTTTGCATGAACATCTTGAGAAATCTTTTTAATGTAAATGTATCTGATCCTTTCAGGAACTCTTATGTCAGACTTAGACATCTATGTACAAATACCTGGGTTCACAGCACAAATATCCCGATTGATAAAGAAGAAGAAAAACCTGTGATGCTTAAAGTAAGTCCTGCAAGGAACTCCGTTCAGATTATCACAAATTTGACCTACCAATAAAGGAAGAATATTTGTAGCTCAGGGTTGAAATTAAAGGTCCTTGATGCTTTCTGAGCTTGGTTGTTTTCTTGCTGATGATTCATCACCCAAACTAGGCAATATCATCAGTGCCAATCCTGATGATGTTACCCAGTTTGGATAATGAAACATCTGCAAGACAACAGCGAAGCTCAGAAAGCTCCAAGGACCCATCAAATTTGATCTAGTAGCGTTATTTATAAAGTAGCAATAATGTTTTAGGTTGTGTTAGGCATCAGGTTAGAACCATTTTAGGTAGTGTTAGGCATCAGGTTAGAAATCAGGAGAACACGAGTTCTAGTCCTGCTTGAGGCACTGAGCCAGTTTGGGCCAACCACTTTCTCTGAGCCCTGGGAAGAAGAAAGCAGTGGCAAAGCACTTTGAAAACTGTTGTCCGGAGAAGTACATGTCTATGTAGATATTGCCAGATATCAACTCTGATTGAAAACCCGAAAAAGTTTATGAATTACATGTTTATAACTCAGTGTAGGTTCAGTGTAGATACAACTTACAGCTAAGCGCAGTACAGTAAATCAGTTAAACAAAGCACTACTGTCCAGCCTTACTCATTACTGGGACAAGAGAATAAGTGCATATCTTTGCAGGAAGATATGGATCACGGCACCTGCTCCCAATGACTTTTGCATCCCATAAATGATGCAAGCTGGTTTACTAATTTATTTCTAAGATTTGTAGGACTGCTCAACTAAAACTGTAACTCTGGACAGCATATTGATAAAATAAACAATATGTCAAAAAAGAAAAAAGCAATAAACAATACAGTACATAAATATAAATTTCTGATCAATCATATAATAAAAGAACCACAAGAGGACTCCCACTCCTCTGGCCTCAATGCCTGAGAGAAGAGCCAGGTCTTAAAGGCTTTCCTAAAGGTAAGAAGAGTTGGGGGTCTCTCACATATCAGGGGGAGATCATTTCAGAGAACAGGTTCAGCTACAAGAAAGGCACGCTTCCTGGGTCCCATAAGATGACAAGATTTAAAAGACGCAATCTGGAGCATGCTCTCCCCATGGAAGCATGTGGGACACACACATGTCCTTGGGAGAATATGATCCCTCAAGTAGCCCAGTCTTAAGCCATGAAAGGCTTTAAAGGTAATAACCAGCACCCTGAATTGCATGTGAAAGCCTATTGGGAGTCAGTGCCAGGTATTACATGACCATAACGAGATGTACACATAATTATCTGTGTTGCTGCATTCAGGGTAAATTGAAGTTTCTGGATATTTTTCAAGGTAGCTTCATGTAGAGCTTGTTGTAATAATCCAATTGGGAGGTTACCAAGGTATAAATAACCATACTTGTATCGATCCTGTACTGATTATACAGACCCTGTGCTGATTGCTAGCTTTTTGGATTGATGTACTTGGCAAACTTCCCCTTTATTGTAACAGCCTTAAACCTTATGATTATTTTTATATATTTTTTGTAGAGTTAGGTTTTCTGCTAATGACAAAGAGGGGAACTCTTTTTTCCATAAACCTGGCATTCATGAATGTAGTTGATACATACAACTGTCCTAAATAAATGATTGAAATTCTTAAGATATGAGTTTCATGTATATCTTATAAAAAAAAGAAATTGAATTGGGCACCGCAGTGTTTCCGATTAAAATTTCAAGCAACATTTCTCTAATGCATTCATTACCACCATTTCATTTGTTCTTGATTATTAAAACTGTATTTTTGTAAAAAAAAAAAAAAAAAGATTGGCACCTCTCCTGTAAAAGAAGACAAAGAAGCTTTTGCCGTGGTACCAGTTTCTCCTGCCGAAGTTCGAGATTTAGACTTTGCAAATGATGCAAGCAAAGTATTGGGCTCCATTGCTGGCAAGTTGGAGAAAGGAACAGTAACTCAGAACGAAAGGAGGTAAGAGGGTCATAATCCATTTTTAAAGATAAATTACCATTCAAGAAATACAGCTTTTATATCCATTTTTGCAGCATCGATATCAAGCCTGCAATAGCCCCAGAAATATTTGCAGAGCTCAAAATGAGATAAAAATAAGCACTTTAACAATGGCTAAAACTATATCAGATCACTCAATCTTACAGAATCCCCAGGTTTACATTAGTAATCTTGTGAGAGCATGTGAAGACTACAACCAGATTGAAAATCCTACATTATTTCAGGCAATAGAAAATATTGCTAAATTCAACTTGGATTTGGATTTCTTAAATATTTTTTAAGAAGTTAAGTATTTCTGAGACTGTTTTTGAATTAAATATTCTTAATACAGTATGTACCTGTTTCTTTAACTGAATGGAGTTACAGAATGCATTATTCTGTGAGCTATGCCGGTATTAAATTTTAGACTAAGAACTAGAATTTATTTATTTATTTAAAAAAATCTCTCTAGATCTGTTACCAAGTTGCTTGAAGATTTGGTGTATTTTGTTACTGGCGGAACAAATTCTGGTCAAGATGTACTTGAAGTCATGTTCTCAAAGCCAAATCGAGAACGGCAAAAACTAATGAGAGAGCAAAATATTCTAAAGCAGGTAAACAACTACTGTAATTACTAAGAGCTTATACACATTTCTGATTGTGATGATAGGAAAGGTAATTTCTTCCTTCCTCAAATAATGCACCAGATTTTCAAGTTATTGCAAGCACCATTTACTGACTGTGGAGATGGACCAATGCTGAGACTGGAGGAACTTGGAGATCAACGCCACGCTCCTTTCAGACATATCTGCCGGCTCTGTTACAGAGTGTTGAGACACTCCCAACAAGACTACAGGAAAAATCAAGTTAGTAAAATTGGAAAGAACGTAAAATATTTAAGCTTACCAGGCGGCAGCACCTAGCTAGCCTTAGCCGATCTAAAAAAATAAACTGAACTGGTGAGTTGGATGGACCAACTCACCAGTAGATTGAGAAAGTGAACAAACATACTATGGCAAGCCACTTCTGTGCTGTTGACAAAAATTATAGTCACCAAGTTGGAAGGGACCATTTTTAGGCCACTAAATCCAAGCACCTTCTAAATGTCTAAATATTAATAAATACTTCAACTATTGTTGTCTATGAAGATTCCCAGTCATCCAGGTCATGGTTGCCCCAAAGGTGCTCTTTCAACAGGCAACTGGACTTTGTTTTTCTTTGAAGACGTTTCACTTCTCATCCAAGAAGCTTCTTCAGCTCTTGACTAGATGGTGGGGAATGTTCTATGCAGAACTCCAAATGAAAGTATCCCTAAGAGATTGCTTGTCTCCTCTTTAACTCATCTAATGAAGATGAGTCCAGTGTGTTTGTTACACAGAATAGTCTTAATGTTAGGAAGAATAGTTCTCACTGATCACAAGATACCTTTCTGCTAACTTGACCATGATTTGCATTTTGCAATCTGGAATGAGAGAAAACAGGTGGCGATCTTTTTCTGTGTGGCATCCTTCCATGTATGAAGAATGCTGTGGTATCTCCTCTCAGCATCTTTCTCAAGTTTAAATACGCCTAACTTCTTCAATCTCTCTTACTCTCAATGCTTTTATATGTACCTGTTATTTCTCTGAGCTGTTCTTAAATTCCTGGGATTGGATGCAGTACTTCATGCAGATTCTAAGTAGAGATACTGCCATAGTAAATATTTCTTTTTAATTTGGTTTTAAATTAGGCCATAGTAAATATTTAATTTGGTTTTACTATAGGCCATAGTAAATATTTCTTTTTAATTTGGTTTTAAATTAGGTATTTATTGTAGTATCTGTTTTATAAGGCTGTCAGCCGCCCTTAGTCCGGTAAGGAGAAGGGCGGGATATAAATTGAATAAATAAATAAATAAATGATTTGGAAATTATAATTCTGCTGTTCCCTCTTTGCAGCTGTGTGGTGCTGCTTGCTTATTTTCTGTTTGCGTCCAACTACAGTCACAGGACCTTTTTCACAAGAACTAAGTAATGCTATATCATGCCAGATACATCCCATCCTATACCTGCACCTGATTTTTATTTCTTAACTGAAGAACTTTTCACTTTGGATTGGTTAAATGTGGAATCATCCCATCGTTCTATTTTGAGTGGATTTTCAACTTGGCAAACTTCCACCCATCTGATATTCGGGCCTTCTATTTAAATGTAAAATAATGGTCAGTTGCTTAATGTGAAGTGGATAGATTATTATTTACTTTGAATAGTAATTGAGCCAAGAATCAGGACTGAACATCTGGTTCAATCTTAGGAATATGGTTTTTGATTAAGAACAAGAAATAATGTAAGTTTCTTAAATCTATGTTACGGTGGAATTAGCATTTATTTTCTTTCTCCCTCCCCTTTTCTAATACTTTGCAAGGAATATATAGCCAAGCAGTTTGGCTTCATGCAAAAACAAATTGGCTATGATGTCTTAGCAGAAGACACTATAACAGCCTTGCTCCACAACAATCGTAAACTGTTGGAGAAACACATCACAGCTGCTGAGATTGATACCTTTGTTAGCCTTGTAAGAAAAAACCGAGAACCCAGGTAAGCTTTTTAACCAATTCTTCTGTAAAAAAAATAAAAAAAATAGAAGAGGCATAAACACTTTAATTGTGGCTCAGTTAGCAGTTTGGAGTTTACTGTATATGTTTGCTATTTCTTTCTGTCTTATTCTGCTGCTGTACTGTGATATCCCTCCTTATTGCCTGACTTCTAATAATTCCCAAGATGTTAAACAGGCTATCCAAAATACAGTACCTGTTCTTTGTACTCAACCCCTACGGCAGTGGTTCTCAACCTGTGGGTCGGGACCCCATTTGGGGTCGATCGACCATTTCACGGGGGTTGCCAAGCAAGGCTGTCCGCCATTTTTTTTGTCCACCATTTTTTCCCCTTTTCCGGCGGGTGCCTTACCTCCCTTGAGCTGGGCCAGCTGGTGGTCGGCCTGCTCCGTCTCTGCCGCTTGCCAGCTACACCTCGGCCGGCGCAGGGGGCGGAACCACGCATGTGCGGCACTCCCGGGCAGGGAAAGTCCTCGACTTACGACCGACTGGGTAGTCCTCGACTTACGACCGGTTTAGTCCTCAACTTATGACCGGTTTAGTCCTCGACTTACGACCGGTTGGGGTCGCGGCATTAAAAAGGTTGAGAACCACTGCCCTACGGTTTCACGTTCTAGGAGAGATCCTTTTTTAAACCCTATTCTACCTTATATTATTATGGATCAGTATAGTTTATACTAATAAATAATTACTATAGTTTATACTTTTGAGAGCTGAATGCAACGAAATTTCATTTTAATGTGTGCCGATTAGTGTACATTCAAAGTGACAATAAAGTTATTATTCTATTCTATTTATTGAAATAGAATCTGCTGCTCTTTGAAAATGGATGCCTCTTGGTTTTGTGAGTCTTAGCAATTTTTAAAATTTAAAGATTTTTTTAAAAGGAGATATTAGATGATCAAAACTTGTAGATCAGCTAAAGGGTTTTGTAATTATGTACTATGAAGCCACAAATATATTTCTGCAAATCTTTAGTATGTTGTTTATAATATAGTTAAATGGAATCTGGAATACTGTGCCCATTTTATAGACTTTGTTTTCTTCTCTGAATAGATTCTTGGACTATCTTTCTGATCTTTGTGTGTCTATGAACAAATCTATTCCGGTTACCCAGGAGCTGATTTGTAAAGCTGTATTAAATCCAGCAAATGCTGACATACTTATTGAGACTAAGTAAGTTTAGATATTTTAAATAGATTTCTTCATTTTAGAAATAAGACAATGATAGCAAAGATGGCAAATAAAATTACTACCAGTTTGGGAGAAACGCAAAACAAAATGTAGAAGTTATTTATAGCAATAGCATGGATGCTTTCTGGATTCTCCATTCAGTTTGTCAGGCGCCTGAATTTTGATCACGTGGATTACCGCAAGGGTTGTAAGCAGTGGTGGGATTCAGCCGGTTCGCACCACTTCAGCAGAACTGGTAGCTAATTTTTTGTTGCCCAGGCCCAGAATGGACCTCCGGAAGCAGCATCCACACAGAGAATCAGTTGTTCATATATTTGAATCCCACCACTGGTTGTAAGTGTAAGGCTTGCTTGTAAATCACTTTTTCCAATGTCGTCGTAACTTCAGACGGTCATTAAATGAATGGTGGTAAGTTGAAGACTACCTTGAAAGGATGCGATATTATCTAAGGTTTTGAAATCTAATGGAAATCCATTCATGCAGCCCTGACAGTAGAAATACAAGTAATTGTTTTTCATTCTTGCACAATTCTTCAGATTGGTCCTGTCTCGTTTTGAGTTTGAGGAGTTATCATCTGGAGAGAACTCACTGGAGGTTGGTGAGGATGAAGAAGAAGTCTGGTTATTCTGGCGAGACAGCAGCAAAGAGGTCCGCAGTAAGAGTATCAGAGAGCTGGCACAAGATGCCAAAGAAGGACAAAAAGAAGACCGGGATGTCCTCAGCTACTACAGGTTAACATTACAAGTAATCCTTGGCTTTAGCAACATAACCTGAAATGTGTACACTAGAGCTGTTTGTAATTTTATTTAATGACCTATTCTTAAGACTTGAACTCTAATATTCATAATTAATTTTAAATGGTAGCTATCAAAACATTTTCAGTTTGGAACTATTTGGATATCGTAAAGAACTTGGAGTGATAACAATTTTATATAGCTCTGACAACAGGTTGATAGAGCTGTTTGTAATTTTATTTAATGGCCTATTCTTAAGACTTGAACTCTGATATTCATAATTAATTTTAAATGGTAGCTATCAAAACATTTTCAGTTTGAAACTATTTGGATATCAGAAAGGACTTGGAGTGATAACAATTTTATATAGCTCTGACAACAGATTGATAGAGTCATTCTGCTTCACGCAGAGTGTGGTTTTATACAGCAGCTTCTGAATTACAAATAGCCGAAATGATTTGGAAAATCAGCTGTCACAGTGAAAATGCTTCTTTATTTTCTAAAATATAGATCTATTATTTTGTTCTTTATAGGCTGTCATTTTAGAGATAAATAACTGGTCAATCTGATACATTTTTCAAAAACATTTGGCTGTGTGGTAGTGTTATTCAAAACATTCTGTAATTATTGTGGACTCCAAGGCTGTGTTTGTCTAATGTAATAAACACAAAAAAGCTAATTCAGTGAGAACCTGCCATCATTATAGCTTCATTTGGATGCTTCACTTTAAGTTTGATGACTTCCATGTCCTGTAAACATGGAGTGTCTGCCAGTTTGAAACTGGATGTTGGACACTAACAATATATGTTTGGTAACATGATCCAGTTTACACTGGACAATGCACAGTGCACAATGTCAGCTGCTCCAGTTTCGTAGCAGAATTCTGAGTTTAATTAAATAGGAACGAGGTCTTGAAGCATGAATGTTTGCCAACTAAATGTACAGTGTAATTTATCACCTATTCTTTAAATCTGATTAATTTCTAAAATACATTTCCATAATCCATAAAACGTGTTTTCCACTCTCCACATCAGAATATGTATCTTATTATGTTAAGCATGCCTTCTCTCTAGCAGCACCTTTAGAATGAGGTTTCCCTACCCCAAGATCCAGATGTTCTCCCACTTTGCTATTGTTATACCCCAAACCTTTGGCGAGGGAGAGTGAGAACCCTTGCTTCATTACAACGGATCTGTTGTGTTTGGCATTTTCTATCTTCCATTAATTTTATTATAATTTCTTTGATGTGAACTGCCATGGTGATGATGATGATGATTTTCAGTCTTCCTTATTTTTCTTCTGCTTTACAAGGTACCAGCTGAATCTTTTTGCTCGGATGTGCCTTGATCGCCAGTACTTAGCTATAAATGAAATATCTGGACAGTTGGATGTTGACCTTATTCTTCGCTGCATGTCTGATGAGAATTTGCCTTATGACTTGAGAGCTTCATTTTGTCGACTGATGTTGCACATGCATGTTGACCGAGATCCCCAAGAACAAGTGACACCAGTGAAGTATGCTCGACTATGGTCAGAGATACCATCTGAAATAGCAATTGATGAGTGAGTATTTGTGACCAAATGATTCTCTGAATGAAGCATGGCGATCTTAAATCCTTGGGAATACTTCTTACTGTTAAAGAATTCTCTTGGAGGAGAATTGCTATGTTAGTCTGTTGTTGCAAAAAACAAATCAGAAAGAGTCTAACAACATCTTTTCCAGCTCACAAAATTTTATGCCTTCTAATAAAATTGGTTAGTTGAAAAAAAAGGGCTTACTATAGTCCTTCTGGTAAGAATTTCCAGTATCACTTGTCACGTTCTATGCCCGTGGTGGCAAACCTATGGCACGGGTGCCAGAGGTGGCACTCAGAGCCCTCTCTGTGGGCACGCGCGCCATCGCCCTCATCCTAGGCCTTTAGCTGGGTTTTATAAAACCTTTTTGCTTTAGGCCTCCGCCACCATGTGCAAAAAAAAAAAGGTTCAATCAATCAGTCGATTTCAACTTCTCACAGGGAAAAAAAGATCTTGCACAGTTGGAATTGATTGATTGAACTTTTTAGTCCCACCCAGTCTGCCATTACTACCGCAGCCACGCCCACCCAATGGGCCACACCCACCCGGCACCCGACGATGCATAAGTGGGTTTTGGGTTGCAGTTTGGGCACTCGGTCTCTAAAAGGTTCGCCATCACTGTTCTATGCAAATTATCAAATTGTACAAAATATTCTGTAAATATTTTGGACTCCAAGGCTGTGTAAGGCTGTGTAATGTAATAAACACAAAAAAGCTAATTTAGTGAGAACCTGCAATTGTGTAATGGCACAAATTATAAAATTGTGCTCGACTTATGACCACAATTGAATCAAAAATTTATGTTGCTAGGTAAGACATTTGCTAAGTGAGTTTTGCCGCATTTTATCACCTTTCTTGCCATAGTTAAGTGAATCACTGCAGGTGTTAAGGTAGCAACACGGTTGTTAAGTGAATCTAGCTTCCCCTTGTCAGAAGGTTGCAAAAGGGGATCATGTGATCCTGGGACACTGCAACCGTCATAAATATGAACCAGGTGCCCAGCATCTGAATTTTGCAGCATCGCCTGGCCATGGAGATGCTGCAATGGTCGTAAGTGTGAAAAATGTGTTACTTTTTTCAATGCTGTTGTAACTTTGAATGGTTGCTAAATGAACTGTTGTAAGTCAAGGACTACCTGTATTTTCATAAAGTGTTTAGTGTTTAATCTAAATCAAGTAATAAATTTCTTGCACATACTTTTTTTTCAAAGAAAAAAAGAAGGCAGGACTTTTTAAAAATTGTTCCATTTTTTTCTTGTTTTTGGATTCTTGTTTAGCTACGACAGCAGTGGAACTTCCAAAGACGAAATCAAGGAGAGGTTTGCACAAACTATGGAGTTTGTGGAGGAATATTTGAGAGATGTTGTTTGCCAAAGATTCCCATTTTCTGATAAAGAAAAAAATAAACTCACCTTTGAGGTAAATGTTTTTAATGCCTCAACTGAGCTACAAGATCAAATGTCGGCAATGCTAACCATAAGTGACTCGGTGGTCAGATCATGTACACATATTTGTAATATTTTCTCGAGTCTGCCAGTTGATTTATTCATAAATAAATTGCATAGCACCTGCCCAGCATACCAAACAAAAAACAAAACAAAACAAAAAAGATTAAAAACTCAGATCCAAATTGAGTTAAAAAAGATTAGGGGGCAAAAGAAAAAAAAGATTTCTGCCAAGTAGAAAACCTTCTAGCAAATCCTGCACTCGCTGAAAAGATAATATCAATAATTAAAAGCAGTTTCAAATGTTTTCCAACAACTTATTCTATTTGCTTAGTTTTATACCTTTCTGTCCCCAGTAGGCTGCCTTGAATAGGAAGTTTGCTAGCAAATTACAGCAATAACTATGCAATAGATACAGCAGTAAAATACAATTGGGCATACATCTCAGTATGCTAATAGCAGCATCTTAAAATACTTAAGAGAACAAGGACGTTTTCATGTGGCACTGAGAAGCCATAATGGAGATGCTGAATGGCCTCTCTAGAAAGACTTTTCAACAAATATGTGATGCTGCCGCAGAAATGGTCTTTTTTTGCTCCCATCTGCCTCATGTAAAAGACCTACAGAATTTGTCTTCTGCTTTAAATGCTGGAGATTTTCCAAAATCATAGATAGAAGTTTTTACCCACTCGAAAGTGTTTTGGTCATTAAAAATCTAATCTAATCATGAAAGAAAAAATAATAATTAAATGGCTGACAGATATAATACGTTAAAACGGAACTGTTCTTTTGCTATTATTTGTGTTGTATTGTATTATTATGTAAATAATAACTGAAAATAAACAATCCCCTCAACATCAGAAAACCTAAATTATTATAAAAACCAGAAGTATAAAATCTGGAAAAAACATAGTCACTGATTATTCAGTATTATAGCACTGATGTGTATTTTAGAATAAGGGTTTTTAGAAACTTACTATTTTGCATAAAAATATTATTTCTACATTTATTTATTTGTCAGATTTAAGAAGAGAGATTCTGGATGGTGTGCAATAAAATATTAAAAGCATAAAAATAGTATATAAAATTTCAAGAGGGAAGGAATGTTAAAATTAATTAAAAAGTGGGGGGGACTTTCAGGGCTGACTTTGGTATCTTAGACAATTTTATGAATTTTAGAAACAATATTGAGTTTGTAAAAAAAAAAAAAAAAGTCCAGTTCAACTGATTACTGTATCTTTTCTTCTTTTGAAAACAGGTTGTGAACTTAGCCCGAAATCTGATATATTTTGGCTTCTATAATTTTTGTGATCTTCTAAGACTAACAAAAATTCTCTTAGCTATTCTGGACTGTGTACATGTTGCAACTATTTTCCCTATTACAAAGGCAACAAAAGGGGAAGAAAGTAAAGGTAAGAATGGCAAGAAAAAGTGGAGGAGACGTTGAGAGACATTTGATCCATGAAATAATATGATGACAAGGCCAATTGCGGTATTAGATTGCTATCCACAATCATTTTACACCAAGAATCAGGATAGTGTTTCCTACAAATGCATTCCAATGTAGAGATTAGAATCTTATTTATAACATTTATAATTTTTGTTTGGTATTATTCAAAAATGCAAGTTTGTGAGCTTACATGAAATCTTGTACTTACAATCTTGAGAGTTTGAAATTATACATTATGATAAGTTCTCAACAGTATTCCTTGAACGGTAATTTGTGGGAGTATCTTGCAAAATGCCAATAACAGAGAATTGGTGCCATTGCATATAATAATAAATCACTCTGCTTTGTAGCTTTCCACGGACCCTTCTGAATGCTGAATTTTTTCTTTTGTAAAAACAATCTTCCCTAGGAGTCTTGAACTAGTATAACCAAACCCAAATGGAATTTATGAAACAAACATAATGTCAATGCTTTAAAAATGATTGGAATTTTAATAGATGCTTTTGTAGTTTCAGTTTCTTATTTACAATGCATATACCAAGTTATTTTGGTTGGCCAAAAATATGATTTTTAGCATCTGTTTCAGCTTTTTGTGCATAATAACTAGGTAATACTACAGATGGCATAGTTATACTTTGAATCTGTAGAACACCCATGGGTTTCTCTTGATTAAGAATTATGCAACTCTAGTTCTGAAATAATGCATGAGAGTCAGTTTAGTCTAGTGTTTAAGGTACCAGGCTAGAAAACAGGCGACTGTGAGTTCTAGTCCCGCTTTAGGTATGAAATCTGGCTGGGTGACTTTAGGCCAGTCATTCCTCTCAGCCCAACTCACCTTACCTCACCTCACAGGGTTGTTGTTGTGGGGGAAATAGGAGGAGGTAGGAATATTAGGTATGTTTACTACCTTGAGTTATTTATAAAAATAATAAATGTGGGCTATAAATAAATAAATGCAAATTTAAAATGTTTGTCTGGGGTATTTATCTGTTTCTGAAGGGAGCAATGTGATGAGATCGATCCATGGTGTGGGAGAGCTCATGACTCAAGTGGTACTAAGAGGTGGTGGGTTCTTGCCTATGACACCTTTGGCTGCTGTCCCGGAAGGTAACGTGAAGCAGGTTGAACCTGAGAAGGAGGACATCCTGGTAATGGATACCAAACTGAAAATAATTGAAATCCTCCAGGTATACTTCAGATGGCACGGCATGGGCATTTTGGCTGATGTCAGTTCATTTTTACATGGTTTTGATTTGATGCACAAGAATCTTATCAACTAAAGTTCAACACTTAATTGGTGCCAGATAAGACTCAACGAAATTCAGGAGGAATTAGACTTGGAGCCCTTTTGGGAATGCAACAGCTCTAAGCTGATAATGCATTTAACTCTGCCCACTAGCTCTGTCTGCTCTGCTCCTGCTGCTCCTTCCCAACCTTAGAAAGAAGGCAACATTCAATCCAACAGATTTATAGTTTTTTCATTATCTTCGGAGGTCTCTGAACTGCATGAAGCTTTGCTTCTGTTGTTCCCCTTTCAAATCACTATTGATTCAAATGAAATTTCTTCTTACTTCAATTGATTTTAAGTATAGAAAATAATCTCACTTACTTAATATACTTCAAATGTTTTGTTGTTGTGTCTTTTTATATCATGCATTTCTGGCTGAGGTTTGCAAATCCTTTAAATGTGCTAAACTTAAGATCCATCAAACATTGAAGCTCATTTGTCTCTTGGAATACAACCTGGATACGATTGTATTATTAATATTGTTTTCATTTTTTGTTCAAATGTTGGAACCGGCAGTTTATTTTGAATGTGAGATTGGATTACCGAATCTCATGCCTTCTGTGTATATTTAAACGAGAATTTGATGAAAGCAATGCACAGACATCTGATTCACCTTCAGGGAGCAATAATCAAGAAATGCCAAATGTACCAGGTCAGTAATTTGCATATTGTTGTACTACAGAATATGAGCACCCATTTTTCAGTTTGGGAGCTGTTGTTTTCTCTCTCGCTGATGATGGATTCCTTCCAATGAGGGGAGTATCATCAAAAGAGGCAGTACAGAAAGTATTGGCCCATTATTTTTAAGATTTGTCAGATGGTTTTAAAGCTATTGGTGGTGCATTTTGGGTCACAAAAGCTTAAATATATCCATTTTCGCGTTGATGTTTTGCATTAAGGTTTAAAATACATTTTGGCAGTTTCAACTTTTTTCCCACTGACTTTTTTATGACAGACGTAAATATTTTTATTTTGTCTTGCACAAGATGAGCACATTCTTTTCCAGTCTAACACACCAAAAATGTCCTATAATATTGATTTTAGTCAGAATAAATAGCAATACTTTGTAGGTTATTTCTTGTGGCAATTAATAACTAGAGCAGCTCAGTATAAAATAAAGCAATTTCCACTCCACTTTCTAAACAAAGTGGAAGTTATGGCAATTTGCTACCATATTGTGTGTTGCAAAAGATGTAAGCGTAGGTTAAACTAAGATTTCTTGTATCTTTGGCCTGGCATTCAGAGTTGCAGTCCCATACCTCTGGAAGATGCCAGATTGGGAAAGTGTCTAAATGTTGTAAACAGAATATTTTGATTTACACACTTAAGTGAAATGTGAGATCTTTGAGTTACTGATAATCTACTGTTTGAATATTCTGTGTGAATATACAGTTCATAAATCCAGCATCTTTTCACATACGAATTCTTGAATCAGTGGTATTAGGCGAAAAAAAGCACATAATGTACAAGTTGCTTATTCGTCTTCTGCTGAACTGGGAAAATGACAAGAATATGTTTTAAAATATTCTTTTAAAAAATAGAGCATCATCTGCTGCTACCTCACTGTCTTAGTATAAACTGTTCCATTAAGCAATTTCTGTGCAAACTGTTTAAATTCCTTCACTGACTTAATTTATATAATGCTTTTTTTCAATTTTGAAGTACAGAAAACTGCCTTGCTTGTGAGGTGTAGGTTCTTACAATTCACTTATTTTATTCTACAGAAAGAAAAAAATGTGATGGCTTGATTTGAATTATTGTTTTATTGTTCTGAACTCTGCATAGAGCACGTTATTTGTTTTCCTTTACAGGTGCTCTTGACTTTGAAAATATTGAAGAACAAGCAGAAGGGATATTTGGAGGCAGGAAAGTAAACTATGGCAATTTGTATTCTTTTGTTCTCAACTATATGTAAAATGGTTTCTCCAAACCTGACGTTTATAGAGGATACATCCTGGGGGTCCACAGTACACTACTGGTGTGCCCATGGGTATCTCTTTCAGTGCCCTCTAGGACTCTTTTGTGATTGAGCATGCCATCTTGGGAACTATTTCCCAAGAAGAGTATGAATATGTTCTCCAAAGTACAGATGTATCTCCTTGGCCAAAAAGATTGTGAGCATTCAAATCACTTGTACCAATTATTCGAGAACCCACTTAATTACATTTAAGCCTCCAGCATTACCTTCCTTTGAAAACACAATTGAAAGTTATAAACACGAGAGTTGTAGAAGTATATACAGTAGATATCTCAGCATAGACAGCAGACAAACAAGCCAGAAGCATAATTCATCATTTTATAATTACTTTGTTAAAACATATTCTAAAAGTATGCATATAGGTATGGATATGTATGTATGTATGTATGTATGTATGTATGTATGTATGTATGTATGTATGTATGTACAGGTAGTGCTTGACTTAGAAGACTTTAGTCACCCTTCAAAGTTACAACGGCACTGAAAATGTGAGTTATGATCATTTTTCATAGTTATGATCTTTGCAGCATCCCCACAATCATGTGATCAAAATTCAGATGCTTGGCAGCTGGTTCATATTTATGACCCTTTCTGTCACATTCTGGTCACCTTTTGTGATATTCTGACACACAAAGTCAATGGGGAAGCCAGATTAATTTAACAACCAGGTTACTAACTTATCAGCTACACTGATTCACATACCAACTGTGGCAAGAAAGGTTGTAAAATGGGGCAAAACACACTTAACAAATGTCTCATTTAACAATAGAAATTTTGGACTCAGTTGTGGTAGTAAGTCAAGGACTAACTATATATGTGTGTTTGTGTGTGTGTATGTATGTGTGTGTGTATAGGTATGCACGTATGTATGTATGTATGTATGTATGTATGTATATGTATATATAAAATATGGAGAGCAGGATGGCTCAATTTTTAAAGATGCTGAATGTTAGCTGGAAAGCTGACAGCCCAGGTTTGAAACATGAATGGGGAGACTTCCTGTCCTTGCCCCAGCTCCTCACCTAGCAGTTCAAAAGTATGCAAATGCAAGTAGATAAATAGGTACCAGTTTGGTGGGAAGGTAACAGCATTCCATGTGCCTTGGCATATAGTCATGCTGGCCACCTGACCATGGAAATGTCTTCAGACAAGGCTGGCTCCCTCAGCTAAGAAATGAAGATGAGTACCGCCCCCCAGTATCAGATACAACTGGACAGGGGAAACCTTTACTTTTACCTTTATATACATATACCTATCAGAATGGAAAAAAATAGAGAAAGGAATATTATTTATTTTTATTTATTTATTTATTTATTTTATTAAATTTATATCCCGCCCTTCTCCTTGCGGACTCAGGGCGGCTAACAATCGGGTAAAAATACACAAATAACATTACAAATTTAAAAATTAGTTAAAAAGGAAATATTTAAATTTAATCTAATTAAAATATAATTAAAACCCTTCTAAAAGTTTCCCCTAGGCCAGTCCCGCAAGCTGGAATAACCATGTCTTAAGGGCGCGGCGGAAGGAAGGGAGATCAGGGATCACCCTGATCTCTGGGGGCAGTTCATTCCAGAGGGTGGGAGCTCCCACAGAGAAGGCCCTCCCCCTTGGGGTCGCCAGCCGGCACTGTCTGGCTGACGGCACCCTGAGGAGACCCA